GATAGATAGATAGATAGATAGATAGATAGATAGATAGATAGATATCCAAGTACTAATTGTGGCTGACTCTGCTTAGCTTCCAAGATCAGACAGGACCTGGTGCCTTTTGGACTGCCCTATGGCAAACCTATCATGGGGTTTTCTCTGCAAGATTTGTCCAGGGAGCATTGGCCATTACCTTCCTCCAAGGCTGAGAGAATATGTCTTTTCCAAGATCCCCAAATGGTTTCCATAGTCAAGTGAGAATCCTTTCATTACTGGCTGCTACTTCCCAGCGGATGTCAGGTGGTGCAATACTGACTAAACAGTGTAATTTCTCCAGTGGTGTGGGGCGTAGACATCCTGTGATAATGCAGCATGTCTCATTAAGAGCCACATCCACTGTTTTAGCATGGTGAAATGTTTTACACACATGCGTATTCAGCAACAGAGTAGCAAAGCGCAAGGGCAGATGTCTTCACTGTGTCTGGTTATGATCCCCAGGTTGTGCCTGTCAGCTTTCATATGATATAGAATCATAGAATCATAGAATCAAAGAGTTGGAAGAGACCTCATGGGCCATCCAGTCCAACCCCCTGCCAAGAAGCAGGAATATTGCATTCAAATCACCCCTGACAAATGGCCATCCAGCCTCTGCTTAAAAGCCTCCAAAGAAGGAGGCTTTTAATTTCTAGCACCCACTTTTTGCTTGATATTCAAGCTGTGCTTGTTGTAGGTTAGAGCATGGTCCAGAGTAACTTCCAGGTATTTTGGTGTGCTGCAATGCTCCAGGGGGAATCTTTCCCAGGTAATCCTCAGAGCTTGAGATGCTTGTGAAAAGCACATGTTTGTGTTTTAGATTGATTAGGAATCAGCTAGTTCTCCCTGTAATAGGCAATAAGAGCACCTAAAGCTTCAGTGAGCTTCTGTTTGACTGTTTCAAAGCTCCATGCTTGAGCGGTGATGGCACGATCATCAGCATAGATGAAGCTCTCTGTCCCTTCTGGCAGTGACTGATAATTTGTGCAGATGTTAAACATTGATGAAGCAAGCACGCTCCTCTGGGGCAGGCTGTTCTTCTGTCTTTGCCATCCGCTTCTCTTGGAAACAGTTGGCATATTATCTGCCGATGCTGTGTGTTTGGTATTGGGGGTCCCACTGATTTATTGCATTGTTGCACAGTGCTGTCACTCACAAACAGAAGGTCTGGGTTATATCCTTGGGACCATCTCCCACTTTTGTAGGATGATGGAAGCTTACTATCATGAATAAGCAATAGTTTATACAATTGTTTTCTTCAGTGTTATGGGCATTGCTGACTTGGAAGCCTGGTTTGACAAAGATAGTACTTCCATGCTTCGCACGTGGTCTTTACGCCACAAAGATCATTCCTGGGACTTTTGATCATTTCTGTTGTTTATTCCTATGAGTGAATAAAGTTTATTGCACTAGCCATAGGCCATGACATCAAAAACATACAGCCTTTATATACACATTAAATACAATCCAATGTTAACCAAAACCCGTTCAAGATTTAAAAGACTAGTACTTTAAAATTTTGCTGGCAGAAACCTAGCAAAAACCGCGTCTGGTCTGTGTCCTCCCTAGCCATCTCCCTTTCCCTATCTGGTCTCCAGCGAGGATTTTACTACTCTGTCTCTGATCTTTTGGGCTGCGATTGCAAATGTGGCTACTTTTAGTGTTATATTTTTGTCATAATCTGCTAGTAGGTCACCAATCACGGCAGGTTCTTGTCATGCTGCCCTTTCTTCAAGGAGTGTTCCCAGGAGATTTTTTCTGGGGTCGTTATACAAAGGGCAGTGTAATAGATAGTGTGTTAGATCTTCTTTTTCCCCGGCGCCACAAATGCAAAGCCTTTGGGCATGGGGGATCCCTCTGTATCTCCCTTCTAGCCAGTTTGAGGGCATTGTTTGGAAGCGCAGGGCTGTAAAGGCTTTCCTCAACGCTGCTGAGGTTAGGTCTTGGAGATATTGTTGGCAGTATTGGTCACTCTTTAGTCTGGGGTACCATATAGAAAAACCTTGCTTTTTACTAATCTCCAAATTGTCAGCTGCATCCTTCTCAAAGATTTTATCACTAATCGCCTTCTTGTCCAGCTGCATTAGAGATGTTATTGACCCATCAAAATATTGATGGAGTAAGGCTAGCCAGGATTGCACCCATCCACCCCGATTGAACTGTTCCCTCAAACATTGCTTTGCTATGCTCTCCTCCTCCAATCCTAGCAATCTCTTCCCATACGAGATGTTAAGCTTGTGCATTCTGGCCTTGAGTGAGGGAAGATCTAATTCCAGTCTTAGCAAGGCGGCTGGGGTCCCAGAGGGAAGGGCTAGAAGAGCTCTTGCAAACTTGTTCTGAATGCATTCGACCTGTTCTGCATTACCTTGCCCCCAAATTTCCGCTCCATATAACAGTTGGGGTAAAATTTTAGCGACAAAAATCTTTACTGTGGGACAAACTAGTGAACCTCCCTTTGTTTTTCCAAAAGCTAGGATTGCTTTCGCTGACCTCCAGGCAGATAATTTGGCTGCCTCTATATGGTTCTTCCAGTTACCGTTGTATGCGAGGTGTAAGCCCAGATATTTAAAACTATCACACTGCTCTATTGAGTGACCATCCAATTTCATTTATTTCGTTTATTCCTATGTGTTTCTTGGACACCCAACATATCACATTGCTTATCTTGGCACAGTTCATAAAGCAGCTGTTCTTTGGCAGCTGAAATGCTTTTAATGTTGATTGAAATTATTGACATACTTGGTCCTGAAAAGATCTGTTGGTTTGTTGCTTTGTTTCGTTGTATGCTGCAAGTTGCTTCTGATGTGAGATAATCAGCCATCTACAAAAACGTTGCCTAGGGGATGCCCAAGTGTGTTACTACCCTGCAGTGAGGCTTCTCTCATGTCCCCCATACAGTAAAACTGCTTTACATTCAGTTCAGTTTACCTTTATTTGTCTTAATTTGCTTTAAAGTACTGTATTTCAATATCAATACAGAGTTTATGGTAATAATATCAATATTAATAACTTTATTTATATCCCAC